AAGTCCAAGACTTAAATCACATGGGTTGTCATCCACATGGGATCCAGTCGCTTTAACCACCACGCCACCACTGGCCCCAAATCTTTCAATATTAATGAAGACTGTTGATTTCTATTGTTGATTTGTTTATTCACATAATATCACAGCATAAAATTTCTTTTTTTTTCTAGTTTTATAGTAAGGAAGTCTCACTAATATAAAAGATAAAAGTACAAAGAAAATGTTTAAGAATGCAGCTGAGAACATTCTTCATGCTTTTGAGAAAAAAAGAGTGGCTGTGCATTCTAACTAGAATATTGTAAAGTTAGAGAAATGGATATATACATATGTATGTACTCATGCACACATCCACGTAACCCCAAATAAAGAAACATCCCTAAAGGACTAGTGCATTTAAGAAGAATCTCAAAATCTAGCAACCCACATGGAAACAAGGTTTTAAAAACTTTATTTCCATTTGACTCCCTTAGAATCTGGATCCAGATTTTTATTTTTTTTAGTAGTATTTAATTGGCATATAAATGTACAGTATAATTTTATTATTAAATGAGTATGGTGAGTAATAATAAAATCAGTATCATTCCCTCAAACATTTATCATTATTTTATATTGGGAACATTTAAAATCATCTCTTTCGGGTAATTTGAATTATACAAAAAAAAATTCTTGACTATGGTATCATACTGTAGAAGTCATTCCTTTTCTCTAACTGTAATTTTGTATCTGTTAACCAACATCTCCCTATCTCCCCTTCTCTCCAACCATTTATATCCTAGAAACCACTATTTCTATGAAATCAAAGCTGTAATACTCTGTCTTCCTTGGAGTCAAATGACAATGGAACAATGACAGAGGCCCATATAAATTTTTTTTTTCTTTAGTAAATATGTCTTTATTAGATACAAACCTACAGGTGTTTCTTAATACTCCAGAATCTGGAAGCCTTACAGTTATCAGTGTTTTATAATGATTAAAACAATGTTCAAATAATGAGCATGACAGTTCATTGAAATACTCAAAAGAAAATTCTGAGGAGTACTTGAAAGCTCTGTTTATAAATAGTGGTTGATACATTTAATATGTAGTTGGTGCTGAAGATAGACACTTCTTAAATAAAATATTGTTTTTATACACTAATCTAATGAAGCTAGTTATTAGATACAGTATACCTTCAACACTAAAGAATAAAGCTTTATCTTCATATTTATTTTATTTATAGAACTCTTATCAATGAAGAACTTTGTATCCAACAATCATAAACAGCATATTGCAAGTGACATTCTGTAGAAGTGAAAAAGCTCAACAAAAAGAAACCTGCATTGTATGTTCTTTATACAGAGAGTCCATTTTGAGTAAGAAAATTAAATGTAGACCAAATGCTTGTAGAAGTCTTTGTGCATAAATTGGCAACTACAGGGGCCAGCAGGTAGTGTGGTGGTTAAGACACTGGACACTCCCACATGGCTGACCACAGTTTGAGTCCCAGAACTGGTGACTTGCTTTCTCACTTTCTATCTCTTTGTCTGTCTGTCTTTCTCTGGTCAAAAGAAAATAAATGAATGAATAAATAAAATAAAAATAATTATTTAAAAACAAATAAATAAAGTGGCAACAATCTCCACACACTAAAAAGAAAAGGCACAACACAGGACACAGTATTCTTAACAACTAGAACACATTTAACACCTTCAACCATCCACAGGGTTCTCAGAGAAGGTGGGCAACTGAAATTTCACAATCACATGGACTTGCTTGCCTAACTAAGGTCACTATTTCAGAAAGCTTTACAACCATTCTAGCAGCTTCATCCAAGTCATCAAAAACAAGAATTTTAAGTCTACTGTCCATTCTCAGTGCCTCAGCATCAACAACTCATGTACCTTGTAACCATACCACAATGGGTATGTTAGTTTCTAAATCTTGACTGCTGTGACTATCCCCTGTGCAATAACATCACACCACATGATTCCTCCAAAAATATTGGTCACAATAGCTAGTACTTTTTTGTCTGAAGTAATAAGCTTAAATGCTTCTGTTACTCGATGAACTGTGGCACCACCACCACCATCAAGAAAGTTGACTGGATTCCCTCCATGAAGTTTTATTATATCCATTGTAGCCATAGTCAAACCAGCACCATTTACTAGACAATCTTTATTTCTACCAAGGCCAGCGTAGCTGAGATCTGCCTTAGCTGCGTCTTTGTCCCGATTATCTTCCTGGGTCCAACCTTGCAGGTCAAAGATTTTCTTTGGGCCATAGGCCGAATTGGAATCAAAATTGATCTTTACATCCATACATAGCACAGCTCCATCTGAATCTTCTACCATTGGATTTATTTTTTACCATGGTTGCATCATATTTCAGAACAGTGTTGTAAAGCTTGACCATGTTTTCTGACACAGGATCTACAATATTGGCTGGAAATCACATCTTATGTGCAAGCTGGACAGCTTGTTCCTTTTTGATGCCTTCTACATTATTGATAGATTCTTTTTTATTGAGAGAGAGAGATTTTTGTTATAGGCCGCATGTACATGTCAGAGTGACAGAGAGACAGAAAGTGAGAGATCACCCCCGCCCCCAACCCCCCCAGAGGGGGGATGGCCATGCTGCAATCCCTTCTTCTCCATTCCCTTCTCAAAATTTTGGGCACAAATGCACATTCACCTGGCATGTTTTAAGCCACCGGGGCCAGGATTCATACTGCGATCAACTACGTGAGAATCCAGCTACATAACCATTATGCCATCTGCTGGTCCCTAATAGGGTCTTTAAATATTGCATCAGGAGTTTCCGCAGCAACATTGTCAATGTTGATACCACCTGTAAACTTCTGGGAGACCCAGACTTGGTCTCCCATAAAAAGTCTTGGTCTCTTTTTTAATAGAGTGATTCAATTTTTTCTTCTCCTAAATTCCTGCTTTGGTTTTATTCCCATGTGCACAAAGCTACCATTAGCCACCTTCATAATTATACTGCAGTATTGCCAAGAAAAACTAGGGGGTAAATCAAGACTCCCCTGTAAGTCTCAGGTAGTTTATCAATACCTTTCCCCAGAGAAGCAAACAGTTCTCCCAAATACCCCTTTCTCCTCTTTGAGACTTGTCACTCTTCCGGAGTATAGAATTATCAGATAATCAGGAATTATCCCAAATATGTTTATTGCACATGGATAGATAATATAATTAGTTAATAAATATAATTAAGCCCACAACACTGGTGTCTACAGTTACTGTTCCACAGAGTCTTGGAGTCATTATCCTAGGGACAGGATTTGATAAATAGATGGCCAGTTATCAAGTTTTGCTACGGTCTAGAGCCAAGCATATCCATCTAGAAGGGCAAAAAAATGTCCTTTTAGAAAACATAAAAAAATAGATGATAATAATTATTTTTGTCCATAATCCATTTTCTTTGTAGTTTAGTTGATCAGTTTCTAGCAGTTTACAGAATCAGTATTCTGCCTATTATTCATTGCATCAGTAAATGAAGACATTGTTAGGTAATGTCTGATCTGTGCTGTTTTGCTTGCTTACTTGTCTTCTTCCTTCCTTCCTCTCTTCTCTTCTCTTCTCTTCTCTTCTCTTCTCTTCTCTTCTCTTCTCTTCTCTTTTTTTTTTTTTTTCTCTCATCTTTGCTATAGGGTGCATAGACTTGCCAGAGACAGAAAATGAAAAATCGCCCTCCTGGGGGATGACCATGCTACATTCTTTTCCATTCTCCTCTTGGAATTTTGGGCATGCACACACACGCACTCAGCATGAGTTTTTAAGCCACGGGGTCTAGGACTCAAACCATGGTCAACCACATGGGAGACCAGCACCTTAACCACTGTGCCCACCACCTGCTGACCTTGGTTTGTGTGATTTCAAATTTTGGAGCCATAAGTGTCTTTATAAAGGAATATTTATTTTAAAGGCAAAGGCAAAGGGCCAGCAGGTAGCATGGTGATAAAAGTGTTGGCCTCCCACATGGACAACCCGGTTCAAGTCCAGGACCTAGCAGCTTGAAACTCACTCTGAGTGTGTGTGTGTGTGTGTGTGTGCCCAAAATCATAAGCTGAGAATGAGGAAAAGGGACTGTGGCATGGCTATCCCCCGTGGGAGATGATTTCTTACTTTCCCTGTCTTTGTATCTCACTCTTCAGTGAGCATGTTGGCAAAAAAATATGGATTCCCTATGGCAAAAAAATTAAACAAACAAACAGAAAAGCAAAGGTAAAAATTATTTTAATCTAGTTGGGTGATGTCGAGATCCATATTACATTTTTTGTGGGGAGGAAAGGGTTTCGCTATAGGGCGTGTGCACTCACCAGAAAGAGAGAGACAGAAAGCGAGAAATCATCCCCCAGGGGGGATGGCCATGCCGCAATCCCTTCTCCTCCATTATCCTCTCGGGATCTCAGGCACACATATACACGCACCCGGCATGAGATTAAGCCACCAGGACTGGGACTCGAACCATGGTCAACTACGTGGGAGTCCAGCCATGTAGCCATTATGCCATTTGCTGGTCCCAAGATCTGTATTACATTATTAAGCCAGGCAAATTATTGCCATATCTTGCTTTTGGGAATCCACCAAAAGCAGTGCTGAGATTCATGATGCATAGGAAACAATTTATTGCATTTAAACATATTTTGTCCCAAGTCTTACTGTATATAACGCTCTGCTGTCAGTCTTCTCTGTGGATGACCACTTCCTGTTTGAATTATCTAATCAGACCTCCTAGCTTTATGCCAGTTGGCATAAAATTGCAGCAAATGTGCAACATTTTAGATACCTATTGGTGCTGTACATGTTTAAAGCCTGAGCCCTTGGTCAATAAAGTGTATAGGGGTGAAAGCCCTGCAATGTCTCTCTGGAAATTTGGCTGATAAGACATATATCATTGACAAACTATTCTAGAAAATTGCTTAAGATAAGTACAGCTTACAATCCCAAACTCCACTGATTTTTAATTTGTCTAACCTGGTTCCACTTCTTTTTATTCCACAGACACCCTATTTTTGGCCATCAAATTGTTGGGAGCCTGAAAACACGGACTATGGTCAGTGCTATATCTCTTCCTTTTATTATACACAGCCAAAGTATCTGGGTGAACATATACTTCCATCGACTGCTTTTGTCATTGAGAAAAGTAAACCACAACTCTCAATATGGGATTCCTATTTTTAACATAGAATTTATGAATGCCCTTATTTGGAAAGTCACCAAATTTATTGGCAGCATTTTCTGTGGCATAGTGCCCTTTGCAGCTGTGAAAGAAAAAACTTCTAAATAGGTTAAAGGGCTATAAACAAGTTTAAAAGGGTTATTGTTGTCTTTTCATAGCTCCCTGGTCTACTAGAAAGAATGACAAAGGGCCCAGAGAGCCAGAATTCTAGTTCAACTCTCCCACTTAGCTGTGATTTTTTAGTAAGTCCTTCACTTTCCAAGGCTCCACTTTTCTCACTATTCTATGAAACATTCGATGATTTTCGTTAAGTGGAGGATTGTGTTAAACATGGAGAGGCCAAATGCAAGCAAAATAAAGGTATAATAGAGAATTTAAAACTGATAAATCAAGTTCAGTGAACTTAGAATAAACATGGTTTGACAACCATGCTGTCAGTTAAGCTCTTCTAGAAAATAAGCTCCTAATATGTACTTCTCTTATGTAATAGCTTCCTGCAGGCCCATGTCAAAGACAAGACTGGATGGTTTTAGGTATTATTTTTGCTAATAGTCATTAGAATTGTTCCTGTGCTGAATGCGGTGGTAAGCAGGTACTGCGATAACAAAAGTGACTAACTTCAACTACAGTTTTGGGTAGCTCACGGGCTAGATGAGAAAGCAGGATTACACCAGAACTATTGTAGCGTGAGAAGTGAACAGAATAGTTGTACCAGCAAAGTCATGTGGAAATCTGAAAGAATGCAAGATTGACTTTACACAGGAGAGTGGAATTCCAGAATGATTTTGTCAAAGAAATGATAATATTTGAGCTAAATTTTAGAGGAGAAAGGGATTTTTCGAGGGAGAAATCAGGGCATGCATTTGAAGCAGAAAGGCTAGCTTTTTTTTTTTTTTTTTTTTTTTTGAGAGGTTTTTTTTCACTATAGGGCGCGTGCGCTCGCCAGACAGACAGAGAGAGACATAGAGACAGAAAGCGAGAAATCACCCCCCAGGGGGTATGGTCACACCGCAATCCCTTCTCCTCCATTCTCCTCTCAGGATCTTGGGCACGCACGCACGCACGCACACACGCCCGGCGTGAGTTTTAAGCCACTGAGTCCGGGACGTGAACCGCAGTCAACTACGTGGGAGTCCAGCAACATAGCCATTACGCTAACTGCTGTTTCCCTGGAAGGGCTAACTTAGTACACAAAGGCAGGAGATACTTTGCAACAACTTGGCTTTCTTTCTATTGTTTTAGGGAGAGGCATCTTTTTAAGAAAATCTAAAAAAATCCATAGTGAAGAAAAAAACAAGGGAGACCTGCCTCATGTTGTTATTTTGACTCTTGAATTTAGTAGTTCATCGAAGAGTGTTCAAATTCTAGTCAGAAGGTCCAAACTAACATCAGTCATGGAAAAAAAAATACCGATAAATTAATAGAAAGAATAGATTGTTCTTTTACAGTAGTAGGAATGCCAGTTCCTTCATTCAGAGCACACATTCTTCAAAAACTGAGGTTTTGGAAAATAAGAATTAAAAAGAAAAGAAAAAAAAATTACCGATTTGTGCATTTGAGTTGGAAATTTTTATAGAGCATTTATTTTCTCTAACCCACGATGATGCCTGGGGACCATCTCAGTAAAGAATGTTCCATCTGGTGGAGGAAATCTTGGACATCTGAGGCAGAGGTCATAGAGAAAGACCCAGGTGTTAGAGGCAGACAGCCCTGAGCCCAACACTGTCATAACCACATACCAACAGTGTGACTTAACGTGATCCATGTAACATCTCTTGGCCTCAGGCTGCTCATTTTTCAAATAGAAATAACAATATGGACTTTCTAAAGTTATTGAAATAATTCAAATCAATGTGCCTAAATAAACTGGCACTGTTCCTCTCACATACTCAGTGCATCGAGAGTCTCATTTTGAGCATTTCACTTACATTGCCTGCCATATTCACTGCCTTTGTTCCTGGTGGTAATGCACATTCTTACTCTCTCTGTTTCTCTCTATTGACCGTCTGTGTTTAGCATAAATATGTTCCCAATTAAAGCTCATAATTTGTCACCTTATGGTAGATTTATGTTTTGGCTGGTGAGCTTGAGAAAATGACATCACCTGCATAGCACACCATTTACAGAACAGTCTTTTTAAAGTAGGCCATCCCTTGGGATCAGCGGATGGTGTAATGGTTACATTGCTGGACTCCCACAAAGTCAACTGTGGTTTGAGTCCTGGATCCAGCAGCTTAAAACTCACTCCAGGTACATATGTGTGTGTGTGTGTGTGTGTGTGTTGTGTGTGTGACTAAAATCTTAAGGGAAGAACCTCCGTTCGCGGAGGGATTGCAGCATGGCCATCTCCCTTCGGGGGTGATTTCTCACTTTCTGTTTCTTCAGCAAGTGCACACACCCTATAGAAAAAAAAAAAAAACGCTAAATAAATATGGTAAGTAAGTAAGTCATCCCAGTATGATTAACATCAGTTATTTTCACATTAACTTTTACTTGTGACCATTGCAGAGGGGCTAATCCTCTAAACTGTCTCCCCAAACCTAGAATCCCAGCTTTTACTAACTGTAGACTTATTCTTTCATTATCGTATTTTCATTTTCCCCTGAAGAAACATATTCTTGTTTCTAGCTTGCTTGGATTATACCAGTGAAAAACGAAATAATTGTTCAGTCAGCGATTAGGAAGGAAATGAAAGGGAGGGATCCGATGACCCTCACGCACACTGTACTCCTCCTCAGGCAATGATGCTTTGTCTGCTAGGATTTTTTTTTTCTTTTCAGGTGTGAATAAATTATAGCAGCAATCTAAATTATCCAATTTTCAATCTTCTACTGACATTTGCTTAAAGCACATTATTATAAAACCTGAACCTTTGCTTTGAAAAATATGAATGGTGTGATGTATTTGGGCTATCAGGCCCCAAACATGGTGATTTCTTAGGCTGTACTTTCTAAGACAACTTCAGGAGAGAAGGGAGTTTATTGTATGTGGTTTAAAGAAGAGTTTCTCGGGACCAGCAGTTGGCATAATGGCTATGTCGCTGGACTCCCATGTAGTTGACCGTGGTTTGAATCCCGGACCCGGTGGCTTAAACTCACGCTGGATGTGTGTGTGTGCGTGCCCAGGATTCCGAGAGGAGAATGGAGGAGAAGGGATTGTGGCGTGGCCATTCCCCCGGGGGGTGATTTCTCGCTTTCTGTCTCTGTCTCTCTCTCTCTCAAAGAATTTCTGTCACTTTCCTAGTATCCTGAATCCCGGACCCGGTGGCTTAACCTCACGCTGGATGTGTGTGTGTGCGTGCCCAGGATTCCGAGAGGAGAATGGAGGAGAAGGGATTGTGGCATGGCCATTCCCCCGGGGGGTGATTTCTCGCTTTCTGTCTCTGTCTCTCTCTCTCTCAAAGAATTTCTGTCACTTTCCTAGTATCCTAACCTCTGTTTCTGTTACCAATTTGAACTTACTAGATAGGTTCTGCAGAACATAAACCTCTGTAGATCAGTTCATATAGAAAAATATTTTTCCATGGTTACCTTGGTCTTATAGGAAAATGAAATGTGATGATTATAATAAATTACTATAAAGCATGTGTACTCTTTCATGCACATGAGAGAAAGAGAGAGAGAGAAAGCGAGAAGTGAGCAATCACCTCCCCTGGGAATGCCCACACAATAGTCCCTTCTCTTTCACTCTCTTCTCGACCCACACACACATGTGCCTTGCATATTTTTCAAGCCAATGACGTTCTTCTCTCGGGATGTTGGGCATACACAAACAAATACCCAGCATGTTTTTTTTCAAGCCAGCAGGTCTGGGAATCAAACCACTCAGTCAGCCATGCAGAATCCACCACTTTACCACTCCACTAGCTGGCCCCAGAGTCTACATTTTTATAATTTCCATTCTTTGAAAATTAAGTTGAGTGGGATTCATAGTATTTTTCATGCAAGTTCTAAAGGCATTCCAGCCCAAGCCAGTCAAAATGAAGTCAAGAGTGGACTTACCAGAAGTATTTGCATCATCAGAGGTGATCTGGCATGAAGGGCTTGCAATGAGGGCTGGAGGCCAAAGCCCTACAAAGCTCAAAAGATGGTTAGTAAGAATTAGGGATGGTGTCAGTGACAGCAACTGAAACAGGAGTCAGGGACAGGGTTTTCACTGGCATCTCTGGATTCACTCAATGCATGTCTGGGGTCCTAGAAAGCACACAGTGACCAATATCTCTAGGCTGACTCTTTTCAAGGATTAAAACGCCATGGTTCAAGTCTCAGACCTGGCAGCTTGCTTTCTCATATTCCTTTTCTCTCTCTCTGTCTCCTTCTGGCCAAATTAAATAATAATAATAATAAAGTAAATTTTTTTAAAAACTTTTTTTCTTCAAAATTTATTCATTTTACATTCATTCACTGTATATCATCACAGCATACAAAATGCTATTTCCCATTCAGAATACTCTGAATATTGGGAAAAAAAATTCCTAAAAATTCTTTTTTTGATATTTTGGGGGCCAGCAGATGGCATAGTGCTTTTAGGTCACAGGAATCCCACATAGCTGACTATGGTTCGAGTCCTGGACCCAGTGACTTGAAAATCACAACAGGCACATGTGCCCAAGATCCCAGGAAGAAAACGGAGGAGAAGGGATTGTGGTGTAGCCATTCCTCCTGGAGGGTAATTGTTCACTTTCCCTCTTGCTGTCTCTGTTTCTGTCTCTCTCCAGTGAGCACATGCATCCTAAGGCAAAATCCTCCAAAAAAATGGTATTTTGTTTATTGCGGACTTCTTTATTAATTTTTGTTTAGATTTTTTATTAAAATGTTACTTATCTTGATTACTGCGTTTTTTTGCACTCCCTTACATTTTATTCCCGAGGCTCC